GTGTAGGTAGCATATTCTGCATGAGATTAACATTTGGAACAACCTGAAGGAAAGGAGCCTGAGGCATGACACGTGGGAAACCAGGTAGGTGGCATTTCTGCAGATCTTCTGTAACTTCAGTTCTATATCAAAAACATTTAACATTCATTAAATTGTTAAGTTTCCTCCCATATTTAACCCCTCCCTCTCTTCTAAAGCCATCAACCATATTTTACATTGTTCCATCAGAATGGCAACTCTCTGGTTTCCTGGCCTGATGATATTCTTGAAATGCAAGTCTAAAGAATGACTGTCAGCATGATGTAGACCAATAGAGAGTATCATGGCTTGATCTTGTTTCTTACTTGACATCTACATAGTGTTAAAAATTGCAAGCAGAAGTCACTTAATAATAACTCTAGGCAAGAAAGTTACACAATTTCTCCATAGCTCAAAATTGCTGAAGTCAGCTAGAACATATCCATCATCATTCTGGCAGAGGACTCGGATCTGACATTGAAAATTGAACTTTCTTGGCACATACGCCTCACTTGGCTACGCCAAGTCATGCATTTATCCAATAAGCCATTAGGGGAGCTGCTACCCAAACCTATAAACCAGCTGACCTGTAAAGTTTTCCAGTAACACAATATTCAACCCTAAAATATCTCTCTCAGTGTTAAAAATTGCATTTGGTCCAAATTTCCTTCCAACACACGAGTATTTAAGTGCGCCTAACTCTTGCTGCAGTCCAGTACATTTTCACCTGCTGTTTGTCACCTAGGATACACATTGCTCTCTTCCCCAATGCCATCATCCCTAACTCTCCAATGCCATGCAATTGCCATTCTTCACGCTCTGCTTCTCTGTTTCTCATCCTCCCAGTCTTTCCGAGCACACAAATTATATTGAGCATAATACCATTACAATATCAAAATCAATTGTTTAGTATTCTAACATTTAGTGATAGGTACTATGCCTGATTGGAACAAAACAAATACAATAGAATGCCATGCCATTTTTCCTTCATTTCAATGCAAATGTTTAAACTTTTCGCATTTCTTTAGAACAGTGCCATTCAGCACAATTACAATTTGTTGAATTCCCTAATATCTATGCACACGTATGTGTGAAACAAAGATGATCCTTGAATCCACAGGTGTTTATATTGGATATGTAAGCAAAATTATCACGTTGATAACACTAACCTGGGATCAGCAACACCAACAGTATGTCTCCTCATGGATAGGTATCGTGCCAGTGCCTCTGGTGATGGTTCTTCACCTTCATCACTATCTAGATTCATATTGCCATCAGTCTACAAAAGAAGACCAACATCACAACTAACTAACAGAATTCATTGCAATACCATCAATCACTGCTAAAGTTATCCATCATAACTAAATCAGCCCCACAAGTTATATTTTAAATAAAAGTTTAGATGCTTTGACTGTGAAATATTAATAGATCTATACAGTTTAGAAATCAATGCTTGGTTAACACTATAAAAGTATGCACTGGATAAAAATGATATAATTAAGCCAATGCTCATCAGGACAGACAGTGGAAGATCTAGCAGTGAAAACTGAATTACAAAATATATGTTCCAATAACTAGCCAGGAAAACATCATGAGGTTCACAAAGTCACTTAGAAGGACACCATATAGCAGACTTTAACAGAATAACTAACTTAAGTAACTCACAAATATTATGTTGGCTATATTTTTCAAAAGAGATTTAAAGATCAGAATATCACAGACAGCATTTTTTTACCAAAAGTATTGTAAACACTTTCTGCACATTAAAAAATAGTGCTGAGGCAACGTTTCACTGTCTAATTCCAGCTAGTAATTGTAGTTTACTTGCAGGGTAATTAAATATACATAAAACGTCTCAGCAATTAACTGCAGGAATTAGGAGATTAATCCAGCAAGGCATTTTACACATTTGATTTCTACTAAAATTTCCATTGATAGATTACTTAGGTTTTGGGACAAATTATCTTGATTTTGGTTGGAATCTACACTGTTTGTTAAACCTCCATTCAATATTACAAAAGGTGACTGGCATTGCATAACACTCTGGGGCAAATCCTATGAAATCTCTAATTTACCATGCACATTACCAATTGCTGCTTGAGTACAGAGAATTCTGGAGTTTCGTCAAAATGACAATTTCTGGATGAATTGGTATAGTAACAAATTACTCATTTTACATAGTAAGTACATTTTTACATTGGGCTGGCATATTTTTTTCAAAAGTACAGGCTTGTGCTTTTTTTCTAATGTAACACCTATTAAATAATCTCAAAAATAAAATGCTCGCTCTGGTTTCTTTTATTTTACAGCTAAGATTTGGAAATAAGTCAAATTTCATAAGATTATCATTTAATTCACAATACTTAAGGGTCAGATCAAAAACCAAATGTCCAACCCATGGTTATATGCAATTAAACCTTCAGTTAGTTGAAATATTATAAAAGTATTGTATCAGCTCTTGACATTATAATTAAACTATAAGAAAAATAATCAACCAAGATGACGAGTTGTGAGCTATGCATTTTACATGTTGTCAGTCAAAATTCTGTGCTGTTTTCTAACCCAGCAACTAGCTCCTTGTTTAGAATTGCTTTTGCAATAACTATGGCCTTAGATAATATCCTTTGCAGATGTTAACAGAATTTCAGTGAGAAGTATGCCCAGCATATTTTCAGCAAATATAATAATCAGAAAAGGAGGAGACTGCATCTATTTGACTCAAAGGGGGTTAGGAAGAGAGCCTCGAGGTGTGGGGATGTTCAGGGAATTTAAGCATTGCATGATCTAAGAAAGAATTGGCCTGATAAGCAGAATGGCCTTTGCTCTCCATCAAAGTTGTTACACTAATTTTATCCCTTTTTTTGTTAGCATGTGAAATTTGTAACAGGGTGATTAGTGTCTGTATCAGTCAATTCTTCTGACTCATAACAGAGAGACTCATTTAACTCAAACCCAATCTTTTTCTCAAAGCGGACCCGTGAAGTTAATCCAAAAGGCTAAGATTTTCATTTATGCTCCTGAAAATCCAGATCATTATCAAGGAAAGATTCTTAATTTTTTTCTCTCATTTTTATAACATGAAAGAAAAATGAATAATCCATTAAAGAACACAATAGAATAGAGATTCTCGGAATTTTTGTTTTTTAAAATATAAATCTGGGCAATGTGGCCTTAAGAGGCCAAACTGTTTGGCGATCTCAAATAGAATAGATTAAAATAAATCACATTTGAACATATGTGCATTTACCAAAAACATCTAATGATACTATAAGGGTCTCATAACTGACCTGCACTATTTGGTTCTCTGGGTTGATGAGCTGCACTTGTGGCACATTTAGACTCAGTGTGTTACCTGTTTGCTCAGCCTGGTGTTAAAGAGCATAGGAAAGTCAGAAAAGAAGTGATCAGTTTCTCCAAAATGTCATTCTCAACACAAAAGTCAGAGTTAATAGGTTTTCATACAGATATAGGTGTCAACAGGGGATTTATTTCATGGTATAATCATTGTTCAAAATATATCAGCACGTACATAACAATTGGTCATGGCTAAAAAGGACATGGAGTACAATCCCTGGCCAGGTTAGGAAAGAATTACAATGTAAAGAAAGGCAGGATGATGGAATAAAAATTTAAACATAGATAATTAGAGCCGGAGGAGAAAGGGTAAGAATAACATGAAGGAGAAAATAATACCAAGCCAAGAAAACAAAGACTCAGTAATTGAAGAACACTAGTAAGAAAAATGTAATTAGATACCACAGCCAAAAGCCCTAATCAATAAGAATTCAAGTGAGTGACACAAACCCTGCATCAAACAATGATGTTACAAGAATTTCAACACTTGGGGGTGAATCAATACGCAGGGGTAAGGAATGCTGCAGTAGATAGAAAAGCACTGACAGGAAAGTAACTTAGGAAATTAAGATAGTAAATTGATATTCTAGCAGATACCAGAAAGAATTGTCGCCTCAGTTAACGATGAGTACGAGATGAGCTGTGCAAAATTAAATGTTATTAAATGGACCCTAACAGCATAAAATAAAATGGAATTGAAACAAGATCAGCCATGATCTTTATATCAACTGGATAGGCTCAAAGGCCAATGGCCTACGCTTGCTCCTACCCCTTTTTATATTGAGTGAAAGGAAACACGATAACAGAATCCATAGATGTGGTGCGAAGTGTAATTAAATTTACATACAACATCTTTCACATCCTCGGAAGGTTCTAAAGCTTTCAATAGCTAATTAATTACTGTCGAATTGTTGTCACTGTTTTTACTCAAGTAAATATTGCAGTCCATTTCTGCATAGCTATATTACACAAATACCAATGAAAGAAACTGTCAATTATATGTTTTCCTAGCACTGGTTGTGGCTTAAATCTTGATCAGAGCACAGAGAATTTGCCTCTTTTCAAAATGTAATAGATTTTTAAGAAAATTCCACGTGAATAGTTTGGCAGAGTCACAGTTTAATATTTTGCCATGACACTGTAGCAATCCTTCAGAACCACACAGAAGTGTTGGACAGATAGTGTGCTGGTGTCCTGAAATGGGATTTCAACTCTTAACTTCTTGTTTCAGGGATAAGTATGCTTGCACTGAATGAAAGTAGATGTGGCAGAGAAGTGTTTAATGGATCAAATACTTCAATGACTTTGTTAAGGACAATTTGTTTCTTCATCTGGTTCTTGTAAATGATCAGTGCACAATCCACACCAAACAATAGTGGAATTTCCAATGACTAGTGACCACAATATAATGCTACTGAATATGCTCTAGCACTAGTACCAGTAAAGTCAACAGTGGATTCATATAAAGTGGAACATTCCGAAGGAATGTGCAAATAAACTAATGTATCTGGAAATTTTCAAAGAAATATGCCTCAGTTGAGGCACAATGGAACATATCTACGATTATAAATATTGCAAAACCCAAGAAAACCCTTTCCAGAAAACTAATTCAAATGTTACATTAAAATTTAAAAAATAACATAAAATCAAAAAAGTAGGGAGAGAATAATAATAGGTGCATTTTGTACAGCATTGTTTAGAATAAAATAAGAAAGAACTTAGAGATGTAAAGAGGAACCTATAGATAAGCACTGTATGCTAAAATGTTCTTCATATTTTGGAGCTCAATGTTTAAAGTGGTAATAAAGATAAAATAGTTGTATGATTTAGTTAATATTTTCCGGAAGTATTCAATGGAGCATAATTTTAACTTGATAATCAACTTCTGTACAAAACTAACATTGCAGAAAATTTGGAATTCACTAGAGCTAAGGCATAATCTGGGGCAATTAAGACAAATAAGTCCCCGGGAGGTCATGGTACACAGGCTGTGGTGCAGAAGGAGACAAGCTGAACAACTTGTAGGATATTGGTTATTATGGAGAAATCAATGGACATTAAATCAGAATGTCACAAGAATAGTAGCTCTATTTTTAAACATTATGAACCTGAATTAATCATGTATAAACTCCACATTCAAGTACGAGGCAATGACCTAGTGGTATTATCACTGGACTGTTAATCCAGAGACCCAGATAACATTCTGGGGACCCGATTTCAAATCCTGCCGTAGAATTTGAATTCAATAAATATCTGGAATTAAGAACTTAATGACGACCGTGAATCCATTGTCAATTGTCAGAAAAACCCATTTGGTTCACTAATGTCTTTAGGGGAATGAAACTGCCATCCTTACCTGATCTGGCCTACATGTGACTCCAGAACCACAGCAAAGTGGGTGACTCTTAACTGCCTCTGGGCAATTAGAGATGGGCAATAAATGCTGCATAGCCAGTGACACCCTCATCCCGTGAATGAATAAAGAAGAAAAAAATACTGGTATCTGCTTTACAACATTGTCTGGAGGAATAACAAGTAATAATCAAAAAGTATACTTACTTCACTCGATCTCAAAAATAAATTATTAAAATGTTCAAACACACAGTACGACAAAAAAGTCTGCTAAAGTGATATTAATACTTTACAATGCTCAAGTAAGACTACAATATAATTTTGGTGCCAAGCCACATAAAATAAAAATGATACATGCTCTAGGATAAAAGTGACAAATACAAAGATAAAATATAAGGAAACATGAAATCTTTACTGGTTACAACCAAGGTAAGTGAAGTAAAATTTGTATGAAATGTACAAGAGACTGAATTGTACACATCAAGGAGTCGGGGATGAGGCTAGTAGGTAGGAAGTGGGGGTAGGGGTTGGTCAGTGAGGTGGGAGGAGCGGATAGGTGGGAGAAAAGACAGAAAGGTCGAGGATGCGGGGGCGAGCTGGGCTGGTCTTGGGATGAGGTCGGATGTGGGGAGATATTGAGGCTTGTGAAGTCCACATTGAGACCATTGGGCTGCAGGGTTCCCAAGCGAAATATGAGGTGCTGTTCCTGTAGCCTTCGGGAGGCATCGTTGTGGCACTGGAGGCGGCCTAGGATGGACATGTTGTCCAAGGAGTGGGAAGTGGAGTTCAAGTGGTTCACGACTGGGAGGTGTAGTCGTTTGTCACGAACCGAGCGTAGGTGTTCCACAAAGCGGTCTCCAAGCCTCCGCTTGGTTTTTCCCGATGTAGAGGAGGCCACATCGGGAACAGCGGATACAATATACCACATTAGTAGATGTGCAGGTGAATATCTGTTTAAGGTGGAAGGTTTTCTTGGGGCCTGGGATGGGGGTGAGGGGGGAGATGTAGGGGCAGGTGTAGCACTTCCTGCGGTTGCAGGGAAAAGTGCCAGGGGTGGTGGGGCTAGTGGGGCGTGTGGAGCTCATCCCCGCCTCCTTGACCTGTCCATCTTCCCTCAACTGACCAACACCCATCCCAACTCCCTACCTACACTCACCTTTACTGGCTCCATCCCTGCCTCCTTGACCTGTCCATCTTCTCTCCACCTATCTGCTCCTTTATCCATCTTCCATCATTGCCTCCCCCACTCTCTATCTATTTCAGAGTCCCCTTCCCCTCCCCCATTTCAGAAGAAGGGTCCAGACCTGAAACATCAGCTTTCCTGCTCCTCTGATGCTGCCTGGCCTGCTGTGTTCATCCAGCTCTACACCTTGTTATCTCAGACTCCAGCATCTGCAGTTCCTACTATCTCTGAGTGAGTAGTTGCTAAAAGTATTGTTTGATGCTGTGATGAAAACGAGTTTCGACGGATTCAATTATCTTCTTGGTCCCTAATGTTTTAATGTTCTTGTGACAAAGCACTCCATAATTAATGGCAGCTCAGGCTACTTTGTTAAAAGTATTTTTCATGGAGAAAAATTAATAGTTGTTTCAGAATCATGCACTACAAAAGAAATGATTGTAGGGAATAAGCACTTATCATACTTGGATTCTGAGTTGTGAAATGATATATTCTGACATATGTTGAAAGTGGACATTTTTCTTTAACAATACAAAACTAAGCTGCTGTATACAAAAGCGAGCAATTTTGATGGGTCAAAAGCCATGGCCAACTGCACTTCAGTTAAGCAAGAGAGCCCCAGATGGATTTCAGGTCCATTGTGTAGTTAATGAGCAGCTGTCCTTTTAAGGCATGAGAACCCACTCCAATAGCTACCAGCAATTAGTGGGCTGGAAAATCCAGTAGCATCAACAGAAGTGGTAGATACCACTGGGACTGCACCCAGATGATACAATGATGTACCCTGCCCTTACAGCAAGGTAACTATATTGAATTAATCACAGGGACCAGTCAGCAGACCCTGTATGGTGGATTGGTTTGTAAGAGCAAGGGATGAGGGATGGGGAAGGGTTACTGCAAAGGCAACCATTGCTATAAGGGTCTTCATGAGCTAGTTACGAGTCCTCTCAATCAAAATACCACCAAGACTCAGAAGGTGGTCAACCCATGTGGCAGAGCACCCACATATTACTGGTAAAGTGCCAGCAGCAGGATGAGACTCAAAGAGACTTCAGTGGCTCAGGGGCCCTCTTCCACCTCTGTATCACTGACAAAATGATACAGCTGCAGGTAGGTGACAGGCACTTTTCAGCCTGAGGCTTTCCTCATCTTGCTGAGGCCAAGTGTAAATCTGCTTGAGCATGGTTAAACATGCAACGCAAGTTAAATCTAAGACTTTTTATAGCTTGAATAAAGTAGCTATATGCCAAACCGCTTCCTTGGATTTGGTTGGCTGTCCACCTCTTGATCCATCTCAGTATAATATGTCAAGTGGCACACTTGCTATTTTCTACCTGCCCGATGATTCATTTCCAACTCTTCCAGGTCCAATAAAATTCATTTCTAGACATCGTTTCAATTAACAAAAATATTGTAAACGGTACTAATGATAGCCGTGCCCCCTTTTCTTTAACAGATTGTGTATTGTCCCTGGTGTTAGCATTCTGTGCAAGCTTTGATGTATGCCTGGTTTTTTGCACAATGGTTTATTTATTGAAAAATGAATCAGGAACCAAAAGTATTGTTGTGCTAAACCACTGCATGCTGTATCTGAGTTTTCTGTCATAAAAGATTCAAACTTGCGCTGTGTATGATTAACATGTCAAATATAAGGAATTCAATTATCTCACACATCAGGTGACAAATAAAATTGTAGAGATTTATGCTCTGGCCTCATTGGGTTTCAAATTTGTCAACCAACCCGAGTGTTCAGGATGTAATACCTAATACACTAGATAGTTGACCTTAGAGAAAGAGGAAGAATCTAAATCATTCCCTATTGTTATAAACGACTTGATGCCCTTTTCAAGAACAGGACCAATATAGAACTGTGTTGTGACACAACCTACCATTCCCTAAACTCTTCTCAAGCATACAGATACCACAGCAGACGGACTGCAGTTTAAGCTCACATTGCAGCTCACAAACACCTTCTCAAGGGCAACTAGGAAAGGACAATAAATGTTGTACAGCCAGGTACACCGATGTGACATGACTGAATAGATAAATTTAAAAAGTAATGCACATGGATAAAGGCATAATAAAAGAAAGTGAAGCAAAACAAAAATAAAGTGAAGCAAAACAAAAATAAAGTCAACCAAATCAACTAACAATAATTGATTGGGCTGCATATCAAACTCATGTGCAAAATTAAGTGGTTACATTTTGAAAGTTTAAAATATTCTCCAACACAAAGAACCATATATCCAGATCAAAAACAGGTGGCAGATTCACTGCTTTTCAGTTCTTAGATGTTGAGGACATTACTTTGAAAGGATTAATGTATGGCAGAGATACAAATCTAAAATTCTTATAACTTACAACTCCTGAAACAACTCTTAGAATCAAAGAATGTAAACATTTCTTCAAAAGTGGTTTTCCATAATGATCAGAAATTTCATGAAGCAAATAAGCTTAATTAAGCAAATTCATGAAGTAATAAGAACAGCATTTTTACTGAAGCTAAGCAGAGACCAGTTTCCACAATTAGTCTCTGACTACATTTTTAACAAGTAATTTCTCAGGAAATGGGGTGGTGACATTCAAACTAAAACTAGAACTTCACCAATGCCATTTTTGTTTTGCTGCCAGTCCTTATTAGGCCTTAATTTCAAGTATGATCAATAGTTAGGTCACCCTACATACTTAAAGTATTCATCTCAAACTGTCTTCTTCCCTCCACCTGACCCAGTATATGAACTGAAATAATTAACCTTAGGCATAGAGACCTAGGTGTGCCACATGATAATCGTGGTGTATATTCTATATAGTTTTCTGGGACATTTCCATCAATTTCAAAACTGAAAGTATTTGCAAACTCCAAAGCATTTGTGCGATATGGTAGAACGCAGCATTTCCTAACAAACACATTATCAAAAAAGTGGAGGGCAGATTGTAACGTACCACAATTATTTGGACATCACTGACACATTACCTGGATATTTGCAGGTGACTGGAAGGGCATAGTGCGAGGTACACTAGGAGGTGCAGAGATCCGCAATGTCTTGTGTCGTTTTAGCTTGTCACATAGCAGGCTATAAATTGCACCAAAGTGATCATAGCCATCTGTCTTCAATGACTAGAAATGAAATTAAATTCACGGTCAAACCGATTTGTACACGTATTGGATTTGAAAGCAATAAATTTGCCTAGGACACAGACTGAGATCAATTTCTCAATAATATGCATTTCGTTTACCAATCTGGGTTTGCTCATCATGGCACCAATGATATCCCATTCTTTGCAAATGGGTTGCTGTTAGTCTTACAATTATGAAACCAATGCTGGTGGATGTAACAATTTTAAAATTCATAAATAAACAAAAAGTAGATTATAATGTAAATGAAATAGAAGTAATCTTGCACTACAAAAGGCAGTAATTACACAACACACATATGAACATCTTAAGATTACTGCAGTACCTGTAGTGTGCGTTCTCTTTCCAAACCCAACTCTGTCATGTACATGAGTACCTGCTCATTCAGCGGTTCTGTCTTGATTTCCACTTTGATTTGTTTAGATTCTGATATTAACTATGGAAAGCACAAAAAGTATAACTTTGTTTTCAACTCTGGAGCATTTTGCAGGTACTTAAATATTAAGAATGGAAATTAAACACAAATATAATTGGAGAAAGTGTTGGAGAAACTCGGCACATTGGGCAGCATTTACTGGAGAGAGAAACAGTTAACATTTAGAGTTCTGTATAACTCCTCTTCATCGAAGACCTGCTGAATTTCTCTGGCAATTTCTGCTTTTATTTCAGATCTCCAGTATTTTGCTTTCATATTCTTATAAAAATAAAATAAATTAAATGGCAACAGCATCTGTGACGTAAGTTACATAGCAATAATGACTACTTTCCATTGTATAAAATGCCAGTTTGGAAAAGGAGATGCAGATGCAATCACATCAATTCGATGAAAAATAGGAATCAACTAGATTCTAACTAATTCACTCAATCTCACTGGAGGTTTCTATTACAGAACAAGCATAAACTTGAATTTTCTGTAGCACCTTTCATCTCTATTGGACTTCCCAAAGTTCTTCACAGTCAATTAACTATTTAGAAGTGCAATTGCTGTTGCTATGCATGCAGCCAATTTGCAGACATCATAGGTCCACAAATAATGAAATAAATGTTCAGTCAACTGAGCGTAAGACTCAGGTCAGTTGTAGCATTCTTCTCTCTTGATCAGAAGACTTGGTGCAGAATCTTTAAAGGCAGAGATTGATAGATTGTTGATTACCAAGGGAATGAAAGATTTTTGGGGAATGTAAACTTGAGGTTAAAATCTGATCAGACTTGATCTTACTGAATGGCAGAGTGGCCTACTCTTGTTCCAGTTTGTATGTTCATATATTCAGCTCTAGAGATTTGACGGTTTAGTCAAGGATCTTACTCTAATGCAGTACTGCATATTGGAGATGCTGTCTTTAAGATTAGCTGTTTAATTAGGCACTGTTTGAGCTCTCAAGTAAATGCAAGAGATCCTGCAGCATTCTGTCATAGCACCCATAGTGTATAATAGATCAACTGTTGTCATTCAACAAACAACACTAAAATGTTATCTCATATCTTATTGCTACTGGTTGTAAAATTGACTACTACATTTAAATATAAATGTTACTTTACTTCAAGTATTAGTGCTGAGATGTCCTGAGATCATGAAAGAAATGATACAATTTCTTTTTATTTGTTGTTGGTTGCATTGGTTGAAAGATAAATACTGACCAGGATACTGAGAGACATTCCACAATCTTTGATCTTTTTTCCATTGATCTAAACAACAGATGGGACCTTAGTTTAACATCCGAAGAACAATGCCTGCACCACTGCAGCAATACTTCAGTACTGTCAGTATTTTGGGCTTTGCTTTTCTTTGATATTTTCACTAATCTGTAAAGCCCCAAAATGTATTTGATTAAAAAAGGAAGCCCACTAAAGCAGTCCTACCTCAATTATAAAGCATATAAAATCTTGACCAAGACACTACATATTTCACGTGGTATTTCACTTTGGGGCAAAGGAATCCAACTTAATGCTAGAAGAATGCCTCTTATACAATAACAACTATGGCACTACAGTCAAACAAAAATCCATGATCAGGCTCAAAGAAACATAGAAAATAGGAACAGGAGTAGGCCATTTGATCCACCAAGCCTATTCTACCATTCGATATGATCGTGATTGATCCTCTATCTCAATGACGTACTCCTGCTCACTCCCCATTACCCTTAATGCCCACTACCCTTGATGCCTTTAGTGACTACAGATCTACGTTTTTTTTATATTCAACTTGATGTAGGGGAGAATTCCACAGGTTCACCATATTCTTAGTGAAGAAATTTCTACTCGTCTCAGTTCTCAGTGGCCTAACTTATATCCAAGACCGCAACCCCTTGTTCTAAACACCCTAGATTTGGGAACATCATCTGTCCATCCAATCTGTCCAGTCTTGTCAGAATCTCATACATTTCAGCAAGATCCCCTCTCATCCTTCTAAACTCCATTGAATACATGCTTAACTAGGGACAGACAACAAATGCTGGCCAGCCAATGTTCTCTTACAATAATTCTGCCATTCCAGGAATCAGTCAGGTGAACTCCAGAATCATTCCTTGTCTTTTTTAATTACAGGATTTATAGAAGAATAATTTTTTTGGGTGGGAGAGAATTGAAGATTAATCAATATAGAATATTGTTGTAGTATTGAAACATTCTTACCCTATCAAATTCTGGGTCAGGATCTCCTATCTTCATCCATTTATGTTTGCAGATCTGTTCCACAGATAAGCGTTTGCTTGGATCTAGCACAAGCATATGTCGAATCAAGTGCTCACATTCTGAAAGGAACAAGTGTAATTAATAAACATGCCTACAGAGAAAGCATGGAAGTTTCTCACTTTGCAAATCAGAATCCTTGTAGTCAAAAATGTACGGCATTACTCCTGTGTAGAACACGAATACACAAAATACACTGTAAATTAACTTTTTGCATTAGTTATAAACACACGTTTGGGACTGTTAAAGATGGGAAATGGATTTTTCAACCCATTCCTACATTCTGAAAGTCTGTTTGCATAGGCTAGGATTGCTGTACAAAACATCCTATTATTCATAATAACTTTTTTAACAAAATAAGAATTTAATTTGCATGTTATTAACCACATGATGGATAGTTCATTAAATTTCGCACAAGCAGTTGAATCTTCGGTAATGTAATGCAGAACATTTGGCTTTTATGAGTGCTTTACAATAAAGCCACCTCTATACTGCATTAGGCTGGAACCTGGTGCAACAGCCTGGGCTCAATAATCACCTGAGCACAAGCAAAATAAGTAGATTCACCCAATTTACAATGCAAAGTTTAGTATTTTGTGTATATATGAAATACATTTGCATTTGATACTAAATGTTCATGTAACACACAGATCTTTATGGAGAGTCAGAGGTAAAATCTGAATGATTGCACAGAGAATACATAGCAAATTGGTACATAATGGCCAGCATTAGAAATTAAGCTCCATATATACAGTCACACAGCACAAGAAACAGACCTATAGTCTACCTCGTACATGCCGACAAGATATCCTAAACTAATCTAGTCTCATTTGTCAGCATTTGCCTCATATTCCTCTAAATTGTTCCTATTCATGCATCCATCAAGACGCCTTTTAAATGACGTAATCATGAAAAGAACAAGGAAATTCAATTGTTAAATAGGTAATTTGTACTGATATTGGTCTATTCAACCCATGTCCACAAGAAAATAACATCTACTCATTAAAATGGCTCAGAACCAAATGGGTAACTTGGAGGTCAAATTATACCACATTTCAAAATATATGTTACCTTACTGTGAGTTTATACTATAGTCATATCATGATCTAATGGCTGGAGTTCATGATATATAAATATACAGGGGGCTTAAAGAGGATCAATTTCCAACTCAGTTAACTATTATTGTTTGGGATCTCAACAAACACTTACTTGACCTGCCTCCTGCAGAATTTCGGTTAGCTTTTTCTTAAGTTAAAAGTCAATCCTCAGGGCTGAAGTCTACTTGGGAAACCATTAGTAAAACTAATTTTCTCTTGCTCTTTTATTAATTGATTTACTAATCATGAAAGCATATCATGTGATTTCCTGTTTTTGAAATAAATCACTTGCAATACTCAGTGATACAGTGGGTTTGTGCACTGCCTTCTTACGGCCAGGATCTGTATATGAATCCAGCCCAGAGTCACAGGATGAATATCCCCTCTCACTGTTAATTAGAAGGGTCCTATATGAAATGAGATTGGGCAGTTTCAAACCAGGTCATAATGAACAACTGGGCACAAGCACTCTTTACTAGATGTACTGTATGTACACACACACACAATGACAAACGTGTCTGTTGTTCAACTTGCTTCGCTTTGTTAAGAGCTGTATACATGTTTTAGCAGTGTTTCTTCACAGAACCAAAAGTTTTCTATTTTGTACAAAATACAGACAACCAGTTACATTCAAAGCTCACTCACTTTATTCAGTTTTTGAGTATACACGGTGCAAGTATGCAGTAGGTTTGCCAGTTACTATTTATTATCACATATATAAGTGTACCTTTAGGTGATGAAGTAGCTGTAGTGAGTAGTCAATTGGAGAACTTCATGAGATACAATAAGTCCCACTAGGTTCTGATTTATGTTGATAAACCTCCATCGGAGGCAGAAGCCTTAAACTGAATCCACTGTGGACTCACTGTATTTGGAAGCAATGATTTACAAAGGATCCTTCAAAGATGAATAGTGTAATTTGCAAATGATCACTCCTGCACTTAAAAATAGTAATGGCCATTAATTTGTACAAATGATACAAGGATAGGCACCTATAAAATTTCAAAATAGCTTTACATGGTTATTTGTAATTATTCTCCAAGTGATCTGAATTTAGCAAATGGCACTTTGAGCTCAGATCACAAAATTTAACCATTCATGAAAGATACTTTTGTAACTAGGATCTTGTCTGTGTTACAGTGGTCATCACTATAACTGCCATTAATGTTGCTTCCTGCACAATAGTTGCAACTCCTTACAATTGCATGTGTGTAGAGGCATGTTACTGCTGAACACTGTCCACTTGTGGTTAACACCTTTCATTGAAGAACAGCCATTTAAAATCTGTATCCAGAATCAGCTAGCTGTACATCAAACTTTCGCCCTATCCTTCCTGACCACTTCATCCATTTCTAATTCCTCTCATTCTCAATGTTGCCCTATATTTCTTCATCTAGGACTCATGCTGTTGTTTAGTGCAAAAACATGGGATGGAAGTTGATTCTTTGATCACTGATGCTTTTTAGGTTTAGGTAAACAGTGAAGACCACTTCAATTCCATCGCCCTGTGAACAGAATAAATGGGATGTCAGCAGAATATAAGCACAATTTCCATTTGGATACTTTACTGTTTTACTAAACTATTAAGGACTTACAAATGGTGTAAATGGATAAGTTAAAAGCAACATATGGCACAAATTCTATTTCACTTGGCTAGATATATATCAGTGAATTGCAGATCCCACATCCATACAACTTCCTAATGCCCAACATCTCTGAGAACATAACACCAACCACACCCTCACTCACCCAGCCCCTTTAATACTACATCAATTAATGATTTCTCCTAGTAAAGTCAAGGCATCCCTTCAAGCATAAAAGCAGTTTTAATTGAGGTACAATAATTTAGAACATAGGGACTCTTCCTATGGCATACTCGTTGATGTTCCTAGCATGTATAATGTGATGTGCAGTAGCCTGCCACCTTTCTTGTTAGATCCTGAACATTGTAAACCATGAGCACAGTTTTCATACTTCTACCTACTACATCACTACAATTTAAGACCCATGTTGCTACATTATTGTGATATTATTGCCATACCTTGATAGACTTTTCCAAATGATGAAACTTCACCTCGACTTCCTTCAAGATCCTCCCAGTAATTGATGCCAAACTCCTAAGATTGCGTTATAAAGCTGCACAGTTTGACTCCAGAGCATGTACATGGGCCAAAAATTCTGTTTTGTTTCACCTTAATACAAAGTCCTGGAGGGCCTGGTTAATTAAAAGTTCTTTAGATTGCAGCAGATAACTCAAAAATAAGAGTAATGAGAACTGTAAGGGACTTCAGAAAACAGAGAAATTGATTGGATAGATGTTAGTTAAAACTTAACACGATAAGAGTTAAGGAAGGTAACAGCTTGATGGTATTAAGACTAGACTATTACTCCAGAGGCCGGTAATGTTCTGGGGACCTGGCTTTGAATACTATGGCAGATGGTCTAGAATTGGTCTGGAATTAAGAGTCTAATGATGACCATGAAACCATTGCCCATTGTCAGGAAAAGCCCATCTGTTTTCTCCATGTCCTTTAGGGAAGGAAATCGCCGTCCTTAACTAGTCTAGCCTACATGCGACTCCAGACCCTGTAATGTGGTTGACTCTGAACTGCACTCTGGACAATTAGGGATCGGCAATAAATGATGGCCTAACCGGCAATGACTAAAACAAAAATTTGTATTACTAATTAACTAATAAAAATTTCAAGGAATAAAAAGAGCAGAGACACTTTGTCAGATTCAAATACATATTTAAAGTTAAAGGACTAGCTAATACAGTAAAAGATTGTTTAAAAAAAGTTAGATTTTGTAAATAGGAGCTAAAGCAGAGGTAGCACCATACATAAAATATTGGTTCAGTCCCAGTTAGAATATCATATTTGGGTGTTTTAGAAATATTGTTGAAGCCTGGAGATAACACGAAGCCATAAATAACTCAAGGGCTGGAGTTTACAGAGCAGCAGAATCCCTACTCCCCGATAACAAAGTCAGAGGCAGCCCATCCATAAGTGAGACAGTTTCTCTACAGCAAGGTAACTATTCCAGTATGGAACTGTAGAGTGGCACTGTCCACTGGATTGGCTGGCAGCTATATAGGCCCAGCAGCACCAGCTGGAATTGGTGGCCATTGCTGAGACTAAAGGCACTCCACCATTCCAAGGAGCTCGGTAAGCCAGGTTCACGGTCTGTGGAGGGTGTGCGTGTGTGTGTGTGGGGTAGGGGGAAGGGACTTGCAGACCATTTGCCCAACATCAACCCTTGCACCTCCAGCCACCAGATGTCGTGTTCAATGGGTCTTTTGACTTGCTGAGAGCGGTGGCAGGCTAAGTCCTTTAAGTGGCAATTAAATGACAACTTAAAGGCATCTAAACAATTCACAAGTACTCATGGGGCACTCCACCTTACCTGCCATCCTGTAAATTAACTGGTTGGGGACAGAAAGTATATGATCACAGCTGATATGTTTCTTAACACTATTCACCTACCTTCTACATGTAACCCTTGATTCTCTTACTAATCAAATAAGAATATGAGAGAAGAAACCTAAAAAATATTGAAAGCAACAGTAAAGACACATATATGTAGGAACAGAATTATTAAATGTGAGGTGGGATCATGGAGGACAAAAATCATGATTTACTTTTGCAATAAAAACCGAAAGAACTGCGGATGCTGTAAATCAGGAATA